CCTTTCCACCCAGTGTGACTCGTTACTTTTTAAGGTGACACTTAAAGACTTTTCTTTAGTTTTCCAAAGCTTCCTGTAATTCAGCCATGGGAATCCGTGTCGTTGTCTAGGCATGGCTAGACTGCAATTCTCATTGATCCTCAGCTATTTTCCAAGATTCGCCTTCCAAAAACCTAGCACTCTCCAGATGTGTTAAAACACAACCATGATCTCTAGCCAACATGATCTCTAGCCAACTTAGCTATACCGGCTGTTGGGAGTGCTAGGAGTTTAGAACATCTGGAAGGAAGTCTTCAGCCTTTGGCGTTGTATTGTACATCCTACCAATCACCGTAGCAAAGCACCAGAATCTCACCCTAATAAGAACAAAAAGCCCACTTTCCCCAAAAAGGATATTTATACAGTATGTTTATATCAATATAAGCCATTCTGTCATTACATTTATCATTTAAAAGCAAAGCAAAAGCAAAGTGTGTTGATTATATACCCCCATTAAAGCACTTTCTGGGCAGGTTATAATTTCATGATCTAAGCTAAACATTCCTAACTCTACCACCGCCAAGCCGGGTACTTATTTTACTGACTTCAGAAGAACGGAAGGCCCACCTCGAGCTGGCTACCTGGACCCAGGATCAAAAGTCAGATCATGAGAAGGGTCTTGACTGCGGTTGAACCCCAGTGCAACGTTCTGTTATTATAGTTATCATTTACAGTTACGGCAGTGAGCAGAAAGAACAGAGATGAGGAGAAACCCCCAAGGATCTACAGCCGTGACCACCACGTCCAGCTGGCTTATTCTGTGGTGAGCTGGACCCTAGGAGGTGCCCCATAGGACTTAAAGAAGGGCACAGGAAGTGAGTGAGGGTAAATTCTTACTAACGGTTACCAACCCTTCTGCCCCACCAAGGGCGCATGAACTACGGGATCCGATTAACCTTGAGCTGGACCTGGCACAGCTGTGCCTACGGACATAGGTCATTTGCTGATAGCATTCTCCAGCTCCTTGATTAAAACGGAGGCACCTTTTCTAAAAGGATCCGGGCACAACGCCACCTGGCCAGGATGAATTAGCACAGAACTAAGACTCCTGGTCTCTTTTCCATCTCTTTCTTTCTCTCTCTCTCTCTCACACACACACATACACACACATTGCACAACTCAGCGGTTGTTACCGCTGATGTTACAACCTCCAGCGATCAGTTTTGGGATGGAGGTGATGTGACAACGTTTGTGAGCCTCTCTTGGCTGCCGCTGAGCAGCTCCTCCTGGGACCTGCCCTCACGACGCACGTCTCCGTGGCCTCCCTCCAGAGAGACGCCTACAAATCCCTCCAAAGTATAAGGCTTGTTGGGAGGGGAGGAGAGGTGGTCTCGGTCACTTTGTGGTCGACCAGGTGATTTTGCTACTCTGCGGCCCCCCCCACTTTCTCAGCAAACCCAGGAGTGCAAAGCTGCCAAGCTCAAGGTGAGCCAGCCCCCCCACCCGGATTGCGTTATCTTGTGAAGCAACCTGTTGCACCACCCAAAGAAGAAGAACACTGCTAGCCACAAACCACAACCTTTTCTCTTCCCTTCCCTGCTGCAAACAATCTCCCCCCCCTTCTTGTAAGTGACCCTTCACTTAGAACAGGCGAGAACTGAAAATCCAATTGTTCCTCTCCCCCCCCCCCAAGCCCCATCCCCCATTTCACACATCTCCTGACCCCTGGAGTTGCTTCAGAGGGACATTTCGGACCTCTTTGAGTCTCAGAGATGCTCTACCCACCTTCGCCCACCAGCACTCCGAAGCTTCTCTCTTTCCGAAGGGGACGACCGAGGATGAGATGGCTGGACAGTGTCTGCGAAGCAACCAACATGAACCTGACACAACTCCGGGAGGCAGTAGAAGACAGGAGGGCCTGGCGTGCTCTGGTCCATGGGGTCACGAAGAGTCGGACACGACTAAACGACTAAACACACACACACACGTGCCAGAAACTGGCCTGCACTCTCTGAAAGCCCACAGAGTGGGGGAGTGTGTGTGTGAGAGAGGTCCTTTTCTTGTGGCCCAAATAATTTACATTTCTGCCCCAGATTAGGACGGGGAGGTAAGAACGCTGGTGGGAGTCCTCTTTCTCCTTGATTTAGGCTGTCTTGAGCAGGCCTTGGGCAAAACTGCACAGTCATAAGGCACCCCCAGAAAAGAATGGGAATATTTTGAATATTCTCTACCTAGATATCCTGGAAAGGGTCACCATAAGTCAGAACTGACTTGACGCCACAAGATTATTATTCAGCAGGTGACAAATTTTTAAATCCCTTCAGAATTCTCTTCTCTGGCTAAGAGCAAGACAAGTTTTTTCCCCCAAGGTCTCTGTAATTTCCGAAAACAATCAAGTCCTTTCCCGTTGAGCACAGATGGACTGGCCAGCTGTTACAAAATCAATACCTCCAGGCCTTCAAATTCTGAAATTTGAGCAATCAACCTGTGGCTGGGGCAATCTGTAAAAATCCCATAAGTGCATCTTTTGCTCACTTTTTCCAAAAAACCAAATGAGTGCTTTTGCACAGAATGTGATCGCCATTGATGCATGAGCACAAGAGGGACAGAAAATAGCTCACCATCTTAGCAGGCAAGAAAAGTACGTGCAGTTCCTCATTTTCCTGCACAAGGACCTGACATATCATAACATGACATTTTAGAACTGCAAAGCTGGAGGGGATCCTATAGATCACCGCACCCAGCCCAGGAGGACATGGGGAATTGATCTCTCAACCTCTTGCGATGACAAGATTGATCACCCCCAGTGCTTTTTAGCAGTTGGACTGGATGACCTCCGTGGTTCTTTGATCTCAAGAGTAGAGTTGCCAGTTTCCATTGACCTGAAACATTTTGCTGTCTGACACCTAGGAACACAGCTCAGACACATGAGGAGCCCAAAGACCAGCCAAATAATATTTGATCTCTGAAGCCAATGTGTCAGCTTATACCTCTCTCTTGCCCCTGGTAGTAATGATTAACGGCATGACCAGAAAGTTTTAGAAGAGGTCGCTGTGTTCATCTGGGCTAGCATGTCAGGTAAAACCAAAAGAAAAATTAAAAAAAACCAAGAAGAAGAAAATATTGCAGCACCTTAAAAACCAACTGCTATATTTTAATGTGAGCTTCTGCGGACAAGTCTCCTTCCTCATATGTATTGAGTGAAATACAGCAAAACGCAAGAGTTCACGAGTCAAACATCACTGACTCTCAAAGCTGGCATGAAATGTTTTACTTGTGAACTCTCCGTTTTACTGTATGTCACTCCGTATGAGGAAGTGGATTCGTTCAGGAAAGCTCCCGTTAAAACATAACAGTCTTTAAGGTGCCGTAATGTTTTTGTCTTCTTTATTTTTTATCTTTCTTTTGGTTTCGCCTGATATGACTAGAAAGGTTAATAATCTTAATGATGATAATTTCAGAACCGCAGAGGTGGAAGGGACCCTGTGGATCATGGTAATCAAGAGGCCCCATGGGGGAATTGAACTCCCAACCTCTGGCCCCACAGCCAGAGACTTCAACCCTCGAGATAATTATATTAGGCGGAGCAGAGGTGTGTGTGCGCTGTGGCCTGTTTAAATGAGAGCACAACGCTTCTAGAGGTTTGCAGGAGGCGCGGATCACCCTCGTCCTTCCTTCCTTTTTATTTATTGTGTTTGCCAATGGATATAGGACTGGTGGTCCATTTCTGCCCACAACTCCTCTTCCCCTAGCCTAGTACCCTAGACATGTCCGAGAGCCACTCTGTATCATTCTCAGCCAGCGTTTTCTTTACCCCAGCCCATCGTTCGCAACGCATCACTCTGAGAAAAGGCCGTTTTCAGACGTTGTCCGGATAACACAAATGGAAAACAGACCGACTCAAAGGTGACCTATCCTCCTTCAAAGGTTGGCACACTTTCTAAAAATAAATTGATGTGTCTGGAAGAAGTCATTTGCAGGTGCCCGCACGCTCTCCACTCCTCCTTGACGTCGTGGTGCGGGAAGGACATGCCAAGGCGATGTTCTTTCCCCTGAAGCTGAGCCACACGTAAGAACAGGCCCCGATGGTCATAAACCTGCAGCGGCCTAATCTTACGTGATGGTAGAGTGTGAGCAGAGCATTTGTGTGCTTGCTGGCTTCGCCTTCCTTGACTTTATGGGTGCTCACCCAGAGAACCACCATGGCATGGACGGAGGGCTGTGTGCCTCTATGAACCTTCTTAGGTGTCCACTGGATGTTGCGTACAGGAAAAGACCGATGGTCCAGCAGAAGACAAGGTGTGAGAAGTTGACTTACTTTGGAGTAGCAAAGGAAGGCTCAGATTTAACCGTCCTAAGGTCTGATTAGGGGGTAATAGGCTTTTGTTCCCAGCCCTGCTTTATCTCAGGAAGAACCAAGGACTAGATATTGCAGGGAGATAGTACAGCACCCTAAGAGTATCATGCACACTGCGAGGCCCAGGGCTGAATCCCAAAGCATGTAGGACTCACATGGGTTCATGTCAAGCAGATCTAGTTCGTTCTGTTCTGCTGATACGTTCTTTGCTTTTCCACAGTTTTCATGGTATTCCTGAGATCGTAAGAATGGCTGATGGTCAGATTCCAGAAGATCTCCTGTATGGAGAATGAGGGCAGGGAAATCACCCCAGAGGGAGACCACAGCTGTGGTACAAGGAGATCTGCAAGTGGGATCTGAAGGCCTTAGGAATGGACCTCCACAGATGGAAATCCTTGACATCTGAGCGTTCAGCCTGGAGGCAGGCGGTGCATCACGGCCTCTCCCAATTTGAAGAGACCCTTGTCCAGCAGGCCGATGTGAAGAGGCAGTCCTGAAAGCAGCAAAACCAGGGAGCTGGACAGGGGACAGATTGCATTTGTCTTCAACGCAGAAGGTATGGTCACTGGGTAGGTTCCCAAGGTCAAAGAGGCTTGGGCACCTACCCAGTCCCAGAGTGGCCATAAAAATAAAGGAATGGGAAGCCACTTCTGAGGACTTCGCCTCACTTTGCCTGTATGAGGAGTAGCACAAAAGAGCACAGAACATGTTGGATAAAAATGATGGAGTCAGTAAAATCACTGTCCAACAGTCGGAGGACCATCACGGGGGACCCATCATGGGGGCGGGTGTTCCTGCGGTCTTGAATCTCAAGCCCCAACTGCCCGCCTCACCAAAACACCACCCGCAGACATGCCCCCATCTTTACAAGAACAAAACAACCCATCACATGGGGCAAAGTCTTTCTGAATTGTTCCAGCTTGGGCAAAAAAGTAGAGGGGGGAGGAAAAGCTGCACTGAGAGCAAAAGAGACCAAACCGATTTGAATTGGCCTTTGCATCGTGTGATCTGACTTTAAAAAGAGTTAAATCAACCCATGCTATAGCTGGAGCAAATCCCATGGTCTTTGGCAGCCTGAATCAACTTTACTCCATCTCTTCTCCACATCCAGTACAGCGGCTGTCATAGCACAAGGGCTTGGCATTTAAGGTCTTAAATCTGAGGATGTTGGCTGGATAGCTGAGTGCGTTGGGGTGACTGATTGGACACCTACCTAGTCCCAGAGTGGCCATAAAAATAAAGGAATGGGAAGCCACTTCTGAGGACTTCATACCTAGTAAACCCTGGGAAGGGATGACGTAAGTCGGAATCAAGTTGATGGCACCTGATTATTACACTCGTTATTATCAGCCTGAGTTAGGAAATGTCTTCCAGACATTGCTGGGTTCTCCGCTCCCATCAGCCTCGAAACATATAGGGATGGTCAGGGACCATGGAAGCTGTAGTCCAGCAAAGATTAGGCAGAGAGGCAGGGTGCCAGATTCTTCCTTGACCATTTCTGCCGAAGGGACCTCTGGCTTTGGGGGCATGTTGGAAGGGAACTTTTGAGGGTTTTTAGTCAAGTAACGAAACTTGAGTAAACTTTAGTAAAGTTAAATAAAAATTGAGACCTATTAAAGACTAGGAAGTAGTATTTGGCAGGAGAGGGTTGTGGATTTTAGCCTAATCCTTGTATCTCAAAACAATAAACTGGAGTCCGCAAAAGCTTACGTCGGATAAGCCTTTTTAGTCTCTAAATTGTGTGGGGGGTTTTTTATGCCCGAGTTTTTGACACATGAAAAACAACTCCTTAGGAAATCATTTCCACCGGTCCACTTGTTTTAGAAAGAGAAAAGCACAAGATCGCCAGACGCGAAGGCGTGACACGAAAGATCCTTTTATTTACACACTCGGAATCCCAGCCTTTATTTTTTCCCCCCTC